TTTCTCAGTTTTATTGCGGTGCTGGATGGAAATGATGAGAAGTTACTCTCTGTCACGCTTTTTGCAAATGAATCGCTTTTGGTGCTCCTCATTTGTTCAAACATTGCCATTAATCTTTCGCACTTCTGCCATAGTTCATGTACGATCTTTACCAGTGGGATGACTATACATATCGAACAGAATCACAATGAATCTGTTTTATTATTGTGTAGCTTTAACTGGTTCACTGTGAGCTTGGGGACCGTGTACCTTCCGTCGGTAAATATGCAAATTTATTTATTTATTTTTATTTATTTATTTGCGATGGAACTTTCCTTGGCACTTACTACATGGTTCCAATTCGTACCTTTTATGACATGAAGGAAGGCTACAAACTACTGTCGATTTGGTTGCGGGAACATGGGCTTTTGATTGGTCGCCATGGTCTGTTGCGTCGATCGATGGTATTCCCATAGAGGCCCGAGCGCTTATGCTTTCTTGCCGGTCGCGTGTGCGCTGAGTTGTTCGCATGTTCAAGGTTGCCGTGTTTTGTTTGTCTGGCCGGGGCAGGTTTAAGCGGCTAGATCGATCACGCGGCAAACGGAGCGACTGAGCGATACAGAAACAACGTGTACGATAGCTACCTTGATGTACGGTCTACAGCTGTAGTTGCTGACTCTCTGGACAAACCATAGAGTTAGCTTTCTTTTGAGACCACAAATATTGCTGTGTGGTTCGTGATTCGGAAACTTCTTCGATTGTGTTTTTTGTGGGAATGGTGCGAAAACCTCAATGTGGAGGTAAAAGGCAATCCACACAAACTGGATCCGAATGATGGTGTGTACTAGATAGCGCAGATGAATCTGGGTCGAATGAGTGTGAGCACACGTTTATCTGAAAAAATGCAACGGGGAACGGCGGCAAAACGTGTTCACAGATGACCGATTGGAACGTAGGTTCGTTCAAGGTCAGTTGTGCTGCGTTTGGCTATGTGAATCTATAAAATCTACCGGTATGTGCTGTTCTGTCATATTTTTTTCTAATGTTCTTGTGCGTGATAGTGTTCGATTCTTTACAATCAGTATTTTTTGTCTCCGCCATCCGTCGCTAGAGTCAAATGTGCAATACACCGAGAATTTCGACATAAATTTAATGTGTCTACCTATAGGCACTTCAAATCCACTCCTGGAATACCGTCTGTCACTAAGGTCTGGTGCTAAGGCAAGATAGGGACATAGGTGTGCAGTGAATTTCTGAGTGGATTTTGCATGTGTTTTTTTTCAAATTGCGCATGACCTTTGTATAAGCCGACCCCCCACTATAAACATGAAAATGGTCCAAAATTCCTCGGCTTATACACGGTAATATACGGTATTTCTTTGGGGACTCGCTAACAGTGGCACATCTTGGACCAGTTAAAACGTTCCGAAGGAGCCCAAACTTTCTAATTAGATACTTAAATCTTTGGATCACGACGAATACTGGAAGTGAATGCGAGTAAACGAATTGACATACTTTGGGGAGGCTGCCTGTCTACTGGTTTCACGATGGTTACTATGCAATCGTTTCCGGAGCAAAATGCGCATATATCGCTATACCGTTATCCCCAGTTTGAGCAGGGTCGTTTATAAAGTAGTTGATTTGGGAAATTCATATGATTTGGATGGAAGTCCCCGCAGCTGGACAAAAAGACAGGTGCGCTTTATCGTAACTGTACACCTAATGAGGTCATCTACCAGTACCATTTTGTTCGGAAACCCACCTTCTTACCTATAGATTTTTAACCAGAGAGGAGAGAAGGAATGGGATCAGCAATACGCCGTACACAGCACCGACACCGCTGCCATTCCACTGCAAGCCCTCACGTGTGGGTTGGGTACACCGCAAGGTCGCCCGTGTCTAAACGGATTCAAACCGGTGACCTAGCTTACAAGGCATACATTTTATCTTCTCGGCCACTGGCCGTGGTTACGGTCTATCATCTGGTCTGGACAATGTTCATCGCTGACCACCTCTACTGGGACTAAACGGCCGTCCACTGCCTATATGACTTTGTTTTTATTTTGTTAAGTGCCTTTTAAAGTCGGTTTCATTAATCTCACGCTGTGAATACTGAGTACGGAATACGGAAAAAAGAGAGCTAGTAGACATGAGTCTGTATTGCTCCATCCTACTTTGTTCGGGCACGTGCACGGACTCACATCACTGATTCTTGAGCGTCTACTGCATGTTACAGCTGCGCCATATACTGTCTGGGTGCGAGCCACTCCCTCTATCTGAAATCCGCAAAGTGGGTGTTTAGGAATTGCTTAAATTCCGACCCCGATTTCGCCTTGACCATTTTCACAGGCAAACTGTTCCAATATTTTACCACTTGGCGCTTTAAGCATAGAGGGTGAGCTGTCCTTTTTAAGTCCGTTACAAGTAGCTTGTACCGATGCGCGCGAGTGCTGCTTGGTACGTGCACGTGAAGCAGTGGCCTCAACATGGGGAAGTGAACCAGATGCAATATCTGACGCGTCATAATGAGGTCAACTCTAAACCGACGGTACGACAGGGTGTACAGCCCTAGTCGTCTGCATCGGTCCTCGTACGGCTCACCCCGTAAACTGGGGATGTGCCTGGTAGCCATATGCTGAACACTTTCCAGTCTTTGCACCTCGCCACGGGTGATTGGACTTTAGGCAGGTAATCACTACTCCAGCATCGGTCTTATGATGGAAAAGAAGAGACGTGTGACAATATCTTCAGACAAAATGCAGAAGTTACGTTTATATTCCCACTCTGTTTTCATGTGGCTTGTTCGTGATGTCTACGGAGCTATAATCGAAGCGTGAGAGTACGCCGAGATACTTCACGGAAGGTGTGGGATGCAGCCGTTGGCTGGCCAGTGTGTACGTACGCCCATCAACACCCTTCCCCAGGCTCATATATAACGATTTGACTGGGTTGACCGCCAGATCGATATTTGCAGGCCACCCGGACAGGAGGTCGAGGTCATGCTGAAGTACGTCACAGTCGTCGGGAACAACCACAGCACTATACACACTTAACACATATGCGTGTCTGAAGGGACAGAAAAAAATGCTGACCTGTTTCACTGATTTGTTTCTGTTTCGACTTACTGCGTTTCTTTTTGTGCTATTACTCGTAGCCGTACGCTGGCGTGTCTGTCTGTCCAGTCTTCGATCAATTATCCCAAAAATTTGGCGAGCTGGCTGAACGGCTTTAGTTGGAGTGCCCGCGAGTATGTGGTACTCAACTAATGAAGCAGCTTCTCGCTGCGGATCAGATACATAGATGTGTGCGGGAGGTTGGATTTCTCTGTGCGGTCAGCGACGAGCACCATGAACTCGTACTTGCCCTGGTTGAAGCGACAAGCTACTGGAACTCTTCCCAGTTAAGTTGCAAAAGGTTGATGCAGAGACGGCATTGATGTCGACATTTCGTCTGCACTAAGCTGCGCCGCCATTAGTCAGCCAGGACTGCCATTTTCGTTGCTAATGGACCGGAATTAGCTTTTTACCCTTCTTCCTAATACCGCGCCATCAATCTTATGTTCCCGGCCGCCTCTACAACCCTGGTCGTTCTACTTCCGCTTTAAGGCAGTATGACGCTATATCTGACTTAATGGGTTTCTGAACATGTTGGATCGTTTGGATCGTCGAAGAGTCCTGCACAAACTACACCACTACGGCATCGGTGATCCAGTAATATGGTGAATTGCTAACTTTCTCCGCGAACAGCAATTGGAGGTTAGAGTCCGAACATCTCTGTCCGACCCGATTCGAGTGGAGTGCGGTGTACCGCAGAGTACGGTGCTTGGGCCTCACTTGTTCTTAGCTTTCATTAACGATCTAGCGAGAACTATCGCCGCGCAATTTCTACTTTTCGTTGACGACGTTGAAATTTGGCGGGCGATAAAAGGTATGGATGACCACGAGATCCTCCAGCGCGACCTCGATGGGGCTTGGTATTGTCCGGTGAGGAACGCACTGCCATTCAATGTGGACAAGTGCCGCGTTGTCCACATCCACCATAGACACGTTTACATTTACAAGCTTGGGGTACACGGTCTGCAGACACGCTCACAAAAACGTGACCTCGGTGTGCTGGTACAGAACGACCTCGGTTGTTCCAGACAGTCAGAATCCGCTACAAAATGTGGTAACCAGCATGTTGGCCTCTTGTAGTGGGCATTCGGGAGTTCAGGTTCATCCATCTCTTCTCGATGCTCAATGCCTACTTGCGTCCCCACGTCGAGTACGCAATCCAGGCTTGGCATCCTTGGCTAAAGCGTGATCTTGCAGCACTCGAAACTCCCGGGCGTCGATCAACGAAATTTGTCAAGTGGTTGTGCAACCTTCCGTACCGACAACTGCTGAAGACACTCGGAGTGTTCAGTGGACGCTATCGGCAGTTACATGGAGACCTCAAATTAATCGACCAGATACTGAGCGACTCCACTCACGTATGGCGCCACCTACTGAATCGCAGCCCGAACACCAACTTTAGAGGCAGTTGCAAGAAACGGAGGCAACAACACAGTCGTCTCGATTGTCGACTAAATTACTTCTCCCTCCCGATCTACCAACCCTGGGACGCCCTCCTAACACATTTGTCTGTGCCCCCACTTTAGATGCTTTCAAAAAAACGCGATTGGATATCGAATTGAACGCTCTGCACTTTGTTACTTGAACGGATATTCTTGATTTATTCTAACCAACTAGCCACTTTGGAAGTTTGACCAACGGTAAATTTGTGCAGAGTGGTGATCAATCTGCCTGTTATTTGCTATGAGTATTAACCATCACAACTTTTTATTTGATTTTGCTTATACTATCTCACTCCCATAACCATCCCTCTTAACACAATTACTCTATCGCTTTGCTCAGTGCGTATTTTATTTGGTCCACTTATGTAATTATTTCAACTACACTTTCTTCTATTGCCAACCTACTGGACATGTTAAGTCTGTGCCTTTTTCACCCGTTATACACCATTGTTCCTTCTTGTTCCAGCTGTTTCTCGGCCTCTGAATCGCTCTTCAATGAACATCGGCCTTTCCCTCTCCAACAACTCGTTAAACTCTCGGGCACGGACCACGGCTGCCAGACTCAACTTAATGAAAGCCAAACTTAAAGCCAAACCTGCTGGGCGAGGGGCACAGGTGCTGCCAAGCGATGAGCGTTTTGTGTTAATTTTGACTCCTCCGTCGGACGCAACATCCTCTTGTCCTTCTCTCGCCGACGGATCCCCGTTCTACGTCGGACGGGTAAGTTGCACTCTTCATTGTCAGAAGTCGAGCATTCCTGAGTCATCATACAACCATTACTACATCTCATAGCCTACACACTTTTTCCATTGTCTTGCATAATGCAGAATTGGCCTCTTGGGAAACTACTGGACTTCGCAATGGACCACTTCGGAATAAAAGTGCCTCCTGATCAGGTAAGTGCTTGCAGGTTTGACTGGGACGTTTTGTAACACAAGGTAACCTTCAATGGCTTTACAAGTAAAATATGTGCCTTTATTCTCCAACTCATCGGTCCGAACAGATACCGCACACACTCTCCACGTTGTTCATCCTAAGCCTTTGAAATCCCAAGGTAGTGACGGGTAACGGCTGTGGCCGGATCCTGATGGAGCCGATAGTTGTGCCCTAATGATGCAACCCAACAGGTCGAGACGGCTATCTGGTACTTTTGCGGGCATGTGGGGGGGACTATCTGAGTTGGAAGCTACTGTGCGAAAATCCCATGTTCCAGGTGAGCAGGACGCCGATGATTGTGTAGCCACTAAGATTTGGGAGAAGAAATGAAAAATTAGTTCTGTTGTGGCAAAGTCTGAGTGAATCACATCTGTAGAGGGACTCCTTCGATGGCAATCATGGTTCACGAGTCCCGAATCAAAAGCAGCTCGGTTAGACACAGTCGTCAAGCTTGAAGGAATGGCCTTAACGGTACTTCGGGTGGCCCATGTTTTCTGTGGTCATGCCACACTTGGATCTCCACTGTTACCATTTGGGGCGTAGCCAAGGTAACTTCTAACCTTTTGGCCCGATACAGTAGTAGGCTGGGGAGGCCGATAGCTGGGTGACTCCGAACCGCACGAAATTTGGCATGTTATAGAGCTCCGGGATCAACCTCCATTTTTTAACCCCGTGTTTTGTCGTTTACCTTCATCATTATTATTCACTTTTAGAAAATCATGGACCAGCACGACTTTTTCGTCACATAAGAACCTTGAACGGACGGGCGCGTTAATCGAGTACTCGTGCACTCTGCATTTTTTCGTTGTTTCTCAGCAGCATTTTGTCGCACATCACTGGATCGATATCTATTCGTCTAGTTTTTACAAGCTCTAACTCGAGATACCATTTTCTCGAATACACCATAGTGCATCCTACATCTACCTGGATTTATAAACTCGCGGAAGTGTTCCACCTATACCCATGAACCAATTTTGTACAATTTCAATCACTGAACTTCAAGTTTTGTCTCACTTGTTGAAGCATTTTAACAACGTTCGAGGAAGCTCTGACTTGTTCCAGTCCAGCACTGCGTGGATCAATTACAGAGTAATCCTCATTTTCCCTGCTGCAAACCCTACTCAGCAGCTAGGCGAAACCGCCTTGTGATGAATAAACCAAGCCACGGAGATCCGTTTACCACGCCACCGTGGGATTGAAAAACAGACAGCCGCAATCTGCCGACACGACAGCGAAGGCTCAGAGACATCGCCCTACCGTCACCGTGAGGCCTTGACCCTAATGCACGGACGTAACTCGACGTGTTTGCACGCTCAGAACAGTAAGCTAACATTTGTCAGCCCCACCACCAGCTTGACTGACAGCGTTTTAATTCAGCTTACACGTGCAGACCTTGCAGCGAACGATATCTACGGAATTGTTGATCACAATGACACGCACCGCATGCTCTTTTAAATCTAGGCCTAAAGCTACAGAAGTGAACGTTAATTGTGGCGCAGTAAGCTGTGTTAAACTTGTGCGATTTGAAATAGAATACACAGACTGTTTTAAAAATTCCATACTAGATGTGCAGGCCTTAGCCTCATCGAGCTAAACAAACCTAATACTATCATTGATTCCTTCTGTTTCTGCACTGAGTGTTCAGCTATTCCACTCGTCAGATACATAGCTGTTTTGTCACAGAAATGCGACAGACTGACAAAGATTGTAGTGTAAGCAGCCGCAATGAGAGCTGTCCCAAGGAACCAGACAAATCAATGCTTCTAATGCGATGCTCAACGTCAAACTCCAATTCAGAACAGTGTAGCCAGGCTGAACATAAGAGCAACGACTTAATGTTAGCCACCTCGATACTAGGGTCTGTCCATAAATATGCATTCGCCATGTCTTCTACAGCAGAGCCACGCTCCACATCGAATACCTGTAGAGAACCAACAACATACACGTCTGTCGTTGTTACTCACTTAACAGAGGAAACTGCCATCATAGCCGCGCCCGCTGCCAAACTAGGTTCAGTTGATACTACCAATTCCACCTCGGGACTCAAGACCCCATCGTTTGTCAGACCAAAAAGCAGCCACATGTCCCTCCAAAAGGAGAACATGATACCAAATCATAATTCTCTGACTGTAATATGCTCAAATGTGCCTGAATCCAGGGCGAGGTCCATAAAAGATAAGCCACTAGACAACAGGGAACAGTGGGACTCCCTGTGTCAAATAATACAGGGTTCAAACTAAGCCGTCAAGTAGGGTGCGCCTTGTCCGTCACTCTAACTCCGTTCACTACAGTGTAACGTGGTTACTCCAGGTGACCGTTCAGCTTCGTAATGATACAGACGCAACTCTCTTGTCAGCCACTCGTCTCCGAACAAATCAACGCACTGTTCGCATCATTCCAGACGTTCCACGGAGCGAACACCAGAAAAGCAAACTAAACTCGAAAGACTGCCGCAAACAAAAAGACGTAAAATCGCTCCTTGTCCACACTGTCTCCGCGCTTCAGACTCCAAGCGAGCCAGTGACCAAAGTGCATGGCTGGGATTAGTGGTGCTTCATCCGCGAAGTACTCGCATTCGAAAATGTCCTCGCTACTTCGATCTCAAGTTTTCCATCTTCGCCTAACTAAAAGCAGCGGTCCACGAGTGAAATACTTGACACTACAAGCCGAACCCATGGCTAGAAAGATGATGGAAACGTTGCTAAACTTGCGTAAGAAGCTACCATCCGAAATAAGTGTACATTCGATAGACACCGGGCCAGAAATCGACAAGATGATGTTAACCAAGCAACCCTTCCATGCGACCCTGTCAGAATCTCGCCCAAAACCTGGATGCAGTCAAAACACTCCGTCAGCTGCAGGATGTCTATGTTTTCAGCCACTTACTGACGCCGAGAACGCTACATGCTAACCCGGAACTGCTCCGCGTTCAGTGATTACGGTACAACAAAAAACGACCGACAGCCGACTCCACAAGGTTTGGTATAACCCTCACCCAGAAACAGCATCTACAAATACACTTCTAACCTCTGAGGCTTCCAATTGCTTGTTTACTAACGCCCAAGATCTTCTCAGTAACTTACCCTAGCTTCTTACTCGTTACGCTTCCACTGCCTTGGATATCGTCATGATAATTGGAACATGGCCAAAAACTAAAATCACTGATGCCAAGATAACCCTGCCCGACATGACAGTCCTACGAAGAAGTCGACACAGCAGAGGAGACGGAGTGCTTTTGTACTACCGATCTGACCTGCATATCGATATCATTGACGATCCAGAAACACAAGTTGTCGATCCTCTCTGATGCCGCCTGCAACTGAAACCTGGTGATGCGTGTATTCTTGCAATTATATACCGCCCTCCAAGGTCCACCCTGAAAATGGATCACTGCCTTGCGTCTGCTATGAAGTGAATTCTAGTAAGATCATAAAGTCACATCTTTTGGTGGGGGAATTCAACTGGCGCGCAATCGAAATCCAAGCTTCGCTCTTTGAACAATTCATAGTAGACTTGCATGAAGTAATCGCCGATATGCCGTCATATAAACACGTCACCGCTCCTACGGGATTCAGAACTGGCGACGATCCATCTGTCTTAGCACTTGTGTTCACCAACGAGGAACTGATACATTAAACATAAGTACACCGCTTGGCCCTAGCGATTGCGCGACGCTTCTCTTCCATTACATCTGCTACGCGGCATACATCTGTGAAAACAGCGAGGAAGTTCATGTCGTCACACATTACGGTACATTCTATGACCTCCTTCAACAAATTAACTGGTCTTTCCTCACTGAGCAACTCCCGAAGTCGCCTGGAAGTTATTTGTCATCCTGTTTTACGGAATAGTCGCAACCGCGTCTGAAACCGAAGTCTTCCGCCCGGATCAAATGAAGTCCTTCCTGAGGAGCCAGACACGAAAATGCATGGTGTTAAGAGATTCGGCCTGGCGCTGTTATAAAGCCTGTCCGGATGTGCAGATCTGGGATGCCTATATAACTCAACGAAATCACAATGTCAAATTAGTCTGCGACGACAAAAAGGCCACCATGTCTTAGCGACGCACTTCACAACTAATCTTCAAATGTTCTACAGGCACTTACAGAGGCTCCGGAGAGTTCAGTGCGGAATCCCAGTTCTACGTACAGTAGACAGTATGATGCACATTACACAAGATGCGGCAAACGCGCTTCGGCAACTGTTTACCCGCACTTTCCAAAGTGAATCGTCATTTCACCCGTTCATAACAGTTTACTCCGCTCCCAGGATTGAGCCGCATATTCCTCACCGTTACAAATGTGATGAAACGGCTACTGTGCTTGCCCGTGCACAACTCTCTTGATGTGGACAATATCAGACCGAAGGCATTAAAAATAGTAGCCATGAGCCATGCCGGTACTTCTAACGAAGTCTTGAGGAAATGCAGGTTCTGAGCGCATGGAAACGTGGACAAGTTACTCCTGTTTTCAAGTGTGAGAATCGTGCAGAACCTTCCGACTACCGTCCAAGCACCCTTCTCCCAGTGTTATCCAAAGTGATGGAAGGCATAATCACAGAGGCGCTCATGGGATACATTGCGAGCAACAACATCATAGTGTCACAGCAGCATGGATTCCGCCGAAATCCGTACTGCGCAAAAGCTTGCTACGAGCTCTAGCTAGTTTGACGAAGTCGTCCGATGCCATACAAGGAGTTGACGTCGAACACCTGGACGTCTCTAATGCATTCTGTCCCCTCTACCATCGAATTCTCTTTCACAAATTTCGATGCTATTGTCTCGATAACTCTGTAGTGGCTAGAATAAGCAACTTTCTCATTAAGCCTCAGCTCGATGTGAGAGTCTGCAGACCTATCTGCGACCCAATTAAAGTGCAGTATGATGTCCTCCAAGGATCGGTACTGATATTCATCAACGATCTCGCTAGGATCCTCGAGTTGGACTTCTGACTATTTGCGAACGACGTCAAGAGCTGGCATAGGATCGACAATGCGCAACCATGCGGCACTACAAAGAGATCACTACAAGGCCTACACATGATCCTCCAAAAATTGGATCCAGTTTAACCTGACGAAATGCAAACTTCTGCACGTACGCCGTCAGTGTACTCACGAATATCGATTGGGAGAGCAGCTGCTGCAAAATGTTACGCAAGAAAGCGATCTCAGAGAAGTCCTGCAGGACGATCTTGGCTGCTCAAAACAGGCCGAGAAGGCATCGAGATGAGCCAGTCAGCACCTTGGACTCCTACGAAGGGCGCTCGGGGTTGGAGTCATCCATCTTTCCACAACTGCTGAACGCTTACCTGCGCCTCCATATGGAATACGCTATGCAGGCCTGGAGACGTTGGAGTAAACACGATGTTGCTGCGCTGGAAATCTCATAACCCAGGGTGCCGAAATCGTTAGCGTACTGTTTCACCTCTTCTACCAAGGTAGACTGCAATCCCTAAGCTTGTACAGCAGCAAATACAGACACCTGTGAGGAGGCTACATTATAATGTGCCAACTACTGACTAAACGAAATCACCTCTTTCTTGATCTGTTCCAAGTCAGCCATCTTACTGACCTGAGAGGCTACCAGCTCAAACTGACCACACACCACGGTCAGCTTGATTGCCAATAAATTTTTTTCTCCCTTCGGGTATCCAGACCTTGGAACGCTCTTCCTTCTCACGCTATTTTCCCCTCCACGTTAACGCTTGTTAAAGAACGATTAAATCACACTGTATCCCGTATATATTACACTACACAGTCCGTCTCCATCGATATGGTGAATCACCTCAAACCAGCATTTTTCATTTTCCTATCATTTTAAGAAAGCACTTTACAATCCCCGTTCTGGTCATCCTAGGGACTTGAAAAGCCATGCTTTTTGCCTCGTTGTAATTCATTGTTCATTTCCGCTTCGCATGTTTGATAAAATACGAGTGCCGACATAAGATTTCACTAGAATGTAACTTATTAGGAATACACCGCCCAGGTCCCGTGTGCTGCTAAATGATACTCGCAGTAGCCGAGCTTCCCCTGTCTGTAGTGAAGGTGTGTTTCGTAAGCGACAAGTAACATAAATTGGGATGGTATTCAGTCTAACCGCCTAGTCGTTTTGCTGCTCGGCTTGTCTACCTTTTACCGATTGGCTAGTAGGTTCTGGGACGTTTGGACGTCGTTTGAGTTCGCGGTAAGTGCTTATTCTACAGCTTCTTTTGAGCGGAGGTTTATCTTGTTGAACAGGTTGTATTGCGTTGTGTGCGAGACAGCCATACGTTACAACAAAACTGCTCACGTGCTACACGGTTGATCAAGCTGTTTGTTGGAGTTAAGTGTCATTGCCCAGCCAATAACAGATACTGGTTATGATCGCGCAATGTGTGTATAACTCTCCATCTCTTGCGCCACTTACCGATATTTGGGAGACCGTTCAACCGATCTGTTTTCACTCCTGTTCATCACTAATGGAGTACATTTTTCTTTGGACTGTGCGGCGTTTCTGACTAGACTGGGATTTGGGTTACCTAGTACCCTAATCTACAGCTGAACTTCAGCGATTTTTCCTCCCAAGTCCGCGACCAGTACGCATTGCTCCTCTGTTTCACACCTCTACATATGGATCTGAATAATCTTAACCATAGGACTATCCAAGCATGCGTCACAAAACCGCAAACTACTTATGAGTACATTGCTTTTGCCGTCCCCCTGTTGATTCGCGACTTGTCCTTCAAAGCACATGAACATGTTCCCTGCGATGACCCGCGTGTCTGATCTACAACTAACCTGGGTTTTTTGTACATTCGAGGTCCCGTTAACCACCTGCATCGTCCCATGGTCCGATGGTTCATACGTACTTCTGGGGTCATGTTCACGCGTGTTTTGTTTGTGAGCGGGTGACGCGTGTCGGGGCCACTGGAATATTGCCTGTCGTCTGTGTGAAGACTGCAAGGTCACTCATCCGACAAGTCCGCGCGATAATGGTTGACACTGCGTGTGCAATAACCCCATTCCCTGTGCATGTCGGTCAATCCGGGCTTGTAGTCCAAATTCAGCGGAAGGGAATTCCATACCTTTCTTCAGTCAATTGCATCCATAGCACCACCAAATTCCTCCCAGTCATTCATCGTCCTCCATAGATCTCTCAAGACGGTCCATAACGCTATCCAGTTGCATCCAACGAGCGCAAAGGCTCCTAAAAATGTGTCCTGTTTGTTAAGTGACGGGTTCGAAATCGACCGAAAGTACAGCAGAGTGGGGTTCTATTGGCGGATTTAGCATTGGTCACTCAAAGGGCCGTAGCCTTTAGGGACGTTGGCGCCCGTTGAATGCTATTTGGTAGCGTTAAGAACCATCTTGAGAGATCTATGGATGAACCTTATTACCTTAAGGGGGATTTGAAAGCCCTATGGGTGCCATTGACTGAGAAAAGGTATAGTGGTGTAAAATAAGACCACTATAGACGGAACGGCTTGAATCTGTACTGGGAAGCTTGTATTATGGAATTACCCCACCTTCCCATCCAGTTCTGTCGTCCTGAAGTGACGATCTACCGAATGAACTGATCTCAAAATCAGTTATCCCCGGGCTTACCCAGGTCTCTATAAGCAGGATGAGCTCCCGCGGTTGTGAATACAAAAATTGATTAAATGGGAGTCGTCGCAGCAGGTTCCAAATCATGCTAGCCGTCTACGCGCGCGGAAAAGCATTCGACGGCAGTTTCAACCTGTTGGGCATCATCAGTTCGAATCCTGATGGATTCGATGTTTCGCGCTAATGATGGTACCTGAGCGGCTGAAACTGCAATCTAGTGCTTTTCTGGGCATGTGGACGACTACCTGATTTGGAACTTGCTATGATGAACTCTCAAGTAATTACCTCATAAAAGCCTCTACTCATGACTACATCAAAACATATAAATGTTTTGCTTCTCGACGGTGCGAGACTGTTCCCACATGTGGGCACATTCGTGATTTTCCCAAATGAGGTCATCTAACGTAGGATTGGAGAGAATTCACTTCAGCATTTGGAGTTTGCATGTATGCAGGTAATGGTGTGCGTTGTAACGCTGTTGAACTGGGTGGTAAGCTCATATCAACCTCACACATTCATTGTGTTGACTAATGGGAGTATTTGATGATGCTTGGGAGAAGTGCTGGGGAGGGGTTGTGAGGCCCGGTGCCCTCTAAGTTCGAGCAAATTACTAACATGGCCTTGGGCATTAGTGTACAAGCAGGATAGCGTTTTGGAGGTTAGGGGTGCATTGGTGAACGGCAAATTCGGGGTTGGTTTTAAGCCGACCATTTTGTGATCGGCCACTAATGGTTTTCTTTGAAGCTGCTTGATTCTTGAATTTCAGATGGGCTGTATGGCAGTACAGACCGTTCCAGATCTCGATGTTCTCTCCTAAATCTGGACGAAGTACGACAGCCCAGAGAATGTCATCGCACAGTAGAGACACAAGCTAATTTTCATACCTCATCCTGTTGTTTCGTACCGAAATTAGTCCCCCTTGCTTTACTGGACTGGTAGTCAGTATTCTGTAGCATCCAGTGATAAACACTTTGTTCCCATGTTCCCTTATTCATGAGGCTTTGTTTTCTTTATCAAAATGACCTTGTGCTGCTGCGTTTCCTGCCTTTCTTTGGCCAATCTGTTCTGTTTTGTAGACGCTGGGATTGGTACTCATACCAAACGATATCTTGTCGTCTTCGGAAGAACATCAACTTGGAGCAATGGACTTTCTGAATCTCAGTCATTCCTTCACTGAATATGAACGGAATGGTGTACTCTTCGAGGGATCCGTGTTACGACCCACTCTCCGACCTAAAGCGTCGTAGCCACTGTTCACTGCATTCAGTTACCAGTCTGCCTTGGCCTTACAGCCGCATATGCTCTTGTAATAAAATACACAGTTGCATATTTACCGTGATGTTAAGCACTAAATGTTATCAATAGGGCTGTGAAGTGGATGCATCCCGGGTGTTCCAAACGACCCCACACTTCTACTGCTCTCCAGTAGACTGCCCTGCCTTGCAATAATCCGAGACAGTTAGGGTGTCTTTGGGCCGAAGTCCAATTCTATTTACAAAACGGTTCACATTTAAAGCGAAGGTACTCGTGCGTTTTTCGTCTCTTCTACTGGGAGCAACTCGGTCCAATTTGGCCCTCTTCGAGCGCGGCGTTCTGCATCCTCTGGCCTACGTATGTCACATTTCTCGGTATGCATGCCCCAATGTGCATTCACAGCGGAATGTTGTTAACAGGTTTCAGCTCACACTTCGCGTATCCCGGCTGAGATCATGTAACGGGTGAGAAGAGGGTACGGTTTCTTTACGACTGATCCCATCTCGCTCACCACGTATAAAATCAAAAGTTGGCAGATTAATCACCCGGCTGCACCGCACAGTTATATCAGCTCGTTGGGATGGAAGATGGAACAATGGTTTACTACGAGTAAGAAAGTTAAAGCTTAACAGATCTCATAAGATGGTCATGGTGAACATTACAAATGGGGACAAGACGTCAGCCAAAATTGGTTCACACCGACGGACTTGCCGAATTATACGTATTAAAAATTGTCAATCCATAAGGAGTGATGATAAATGCGATGTCTATACAAACAGTGTCACCTGTTAAACACGTCGTGCATGAGGGGAAAACGTAATGCGTATTCTGGGATCTGATCGACAATGAATTCTAGTAGACGCTCGTGTTTGGCCATAGGCAATGAGTAATGTGATATAGCGTGACGAGATGAGTGCACGGTCAACTCGGGCTTGGAACTCTACCAGCGTAGGATCACAGATAAGATATTCCGGCAGGACAAACACAAATGGAAAATAAATTCCGACGGCCCTCCATACCATTGTTGCTTTGCCAGCTTGTTATAGTGACCTCTCAGATAACTGTTATGACTGAGCTCTAGCGAATGGCGGCACGTGGGGTAAGTCAGAATAAGGTCTCCACGCAATTGGCGGTATTGCTCGCTGAAGATCCCGAGCGCACCCAGCCTTTGTTCATACGGCAAATGATGTTGAGATTTTCCCAAATTGGCGGAATCTCTCCTCAGCCATGGATGCCAAACCTGTATTGCGTATTCCACATGTGAACATATGTATGAACCGAGAAACGGCTAAAGCATCGACAGGTTGAAGCGTGCAAATGCATATCGCAGGAAGCCCATATTTTGTATGCCACTTCATGATGCCTTTTCAATCTGGTCCGAGCGACCAACGACGGCCTGGGTCAAATGGCCCATATACTTTACTCTGGCAGACGTTCGAGAAGGATCTGGGCGTTTTGATCCAGGCCGACCTTGGCTGTTCGGATCAGACTGAAGAGGCATCCAAAACGCTATTCACGTAGCAATGCGTTCCTCGCCCTCTGGTTGCCAATGAAAGGAAAAAGTTGGAAAATGTTAAGAGCAGACGTTCACTCGGTAGCGGATGGGCAGCATTCCGCTTCATGAATGGGCACACTAGTTTGGCAAGGAAAATATCGACAAGCAATGGCCCTAGGAAGCGACTCCATCGCAATTCTATCTATCTGTCTATAAGAACATCATTCAAAAATGAACTGCCTGCCGAAAGTGCATCGTAAGATCAGTTCTTGCAATTTAAATACTAGGATACCAATATCTATATGGACTTCCGTCCTGTAATCACAGGTGAAATCGACAGTTGATAGCAAGGGAATGTTTGTATAAAGTGACTCGACTTCGAACGACAGCATTAATTTCCCATCTACTCTAAGATCTTCCACCAGTGTAACAAAATCAACAGAATATTTTAACGTGTGAGTACACTTTACGTACTGGTTCTAACAGTTCCACAATCCATTTGGCGACCGATTGGAAGGAGGAAGCAGACACGTCAATAATCAGGCGTAGAGGGACCTGTGAGTTGGGTATTTTGGATAATCCATACAGTTGGAACAGGACGATAAAGACGAAGAAGCGCAAGAAGGGGAATAAGAAGACGAGAAGGTTTGGGCAATCGCATC